TGCTGGCTTTAAAAACCTTTGTTTATATTAGTATATCTTCAAAGGTGCAGTTTATTTAAAAAAAAAATATTTTTTTTACACTGCGCATAGAACAAGCTTAAAATACAGTTGAATAGATTCTGCAAAATTATACGTTAAATAATTAGTAATAAAAAAAAACATTTCATGAAATTAACATCTACTACTAGTCCTGTATTTAAAGTGTAAAGTAAATGCTCCAAATTTACGAAATAAATTTGTAACAGTTTGAATATTTGGACAGTAGAAATATTTTTTTTAACTAATATAAATATTTTTTTTTCAATTTTTAATGGAATTTTAATTCAACCATTCACTAAAATTATAGGGCCGGGATAACCTGGTCGGTAGAGCTCTGGGCCCATATCCGAGAGTTCGTAGGTTCGAACCCCGCCGGTCGAGGACTCCCCGTGTAGTATAGTGACTGATGCACGCTAAATCTGTCTAGTCGCAAAAGTCCTTCATGCTCCCATAACAAATCAATACCTCTGGGGATATTAGATTGGAGATCGATCGTTCTCTGATTCAGGTCAAAATTACGATATGTGGATGAATGAATGGGTCCGCCCGCCCTATAAACGGGTGTGACGTATGGTGTGGCAGAAGTTGAATTCTTGGCCATAGATGGCGCCACTGAAGAACAAGGACAATCGCACCCGCTCTGCCTAAACAGGCATGCGTCAACAACAACAACTAAAATTATAAAATTTTGAATTATAAAATAAGATTTTACAAGCAAAGATACGAGTATGATGATACTTCAGTTACTTTAAACGAACATTTCAAATCATTACCATAGTACGATCATAGAATTTTAGTTCTATTATTCATGATTATCATAAAATTTTTAGTGTATCTATAACACGATTCTTACATACGAAAAATCTTCCCATATAATGTTTCTAAACACCCCTAAGTAATTTCTGCACAAATCTTTGTAACAAATTAGAATCTTTAATCAATTAGCGAGAAGTTTTTTTCGAATCCAACTTATTGGTGAATAACCACAGAAATGTATTCTTCTGTAAAATATTTCACTAGACATAATCTAAAAAAAAACTGTAAATGTATCATAAAATTTTTAGTGTATCTATAACACGATTTTTACGTATGAAAAACCTTCCCATGTAATGTTTCTAAATACCATTAAGTAATTTCTGCACAAATCTTTGTAACAAATTGGAATCTTTACTCAATTAGCTAGAAATTTTCTTCGAATCCAACTTATTGGTGAATGACCACAGAAATGTATCCTTCTGAAAAATATTTCACTAGATCTAAAAATAAAATGACTGCAACAGCAAAATGAAGGCATAAACATTCTTAAATTACATTAAACGAACTTTTCAAGCCATTACCATACTGTGCTTATGGAACTTCATTTCAACCATTCATAATTACCACAAAATTTTGAAGATGTCCAAAATGCGATTTTACAAACGAAAAATCTTTCCAGAGATAATGTTTCTAATTACCATCAAGTTATTCCCTGCACAAATCCTAGTAGCTGATCGAAACCTTTAATCAATTAGCGAAAAGTTTTCCATGAATCCAACTGATTGACGGATTACCACAGAAATGTATTCATCCGTAGAATATTTCACAAGAGGTAATCTAATTTAATTGAGTAGGGACTCTGTTTCACAATGGAGAGTAATTATGAATCCGGGGGTGACTTGAACTTCAGCAGCACGATGAGTAGGTTTCGTTCAGATCAAGGGGAACGTCTGAACATTAACAGAACGCTCTGAACTGCTTTAATCAATGTTAATGACTCTCGTGAACGTTGAATTTTAAGAATAATCTCAAATTAGATAATTTAGTATTGAATGAGAATATTTCGGTCCCTTTTCGAAAGCTTTAAAAATAAATTGAACGAGACGATGATTGTTCGTAAAATACAATTTTGTTGAAATAAATTATTTTTGCCTTGTTGTTAAAAATTTCGAAGTAATCAGAGGCCTCTCTTGAAAATTATTGGAATTCGACGCAAGCAAGTTAAAGCTAATGGAAGTCGAATAATTAATTATTTTAGACAGAAATAAAGAATTTACATTATAAATTAAGAGAACATTTGTTAGCTTCATTGAAGGAGGTGGAAAATTTAAAAATTACTCTTTTATTCTATTCCAGTTAAATGCTTTAAAGTAAATGTATTTGTAGAACATTTAAACTGAATTCTTATGGTAATTTCTTGGGATAATATATTGTAATATAATTTTTTCAATGAGAATTGTATGCAAACTTCAGCTCATGAAACGCGAAAATTATTTGGCATATAATTAAAAAACATTTTTTAAGATACGTTGTTAGGATAAAGCAAGATTTTGTTGAGATTTAATATATCTATTTGTGAAACAACATTTATACCAAATGTGAATGAAAATAATTTTATTAATATTAAAAAAAAATAGCTATCAAGCAAACTACTTTGCTTGATTGTCCTTTATGTGAATGGCATATTAGTTCTTTATAACAATTTTAAGATATAAATCTTACTGAATCCTCAATTTACACTTAAACTGAAATCGATAATAATAGGGAAAGTCATTTCTTGAACGATTTTTATTTATTTTTTTAACTGGTCGTGATTATTTATAGACTGGTTAAGTGTCCCGAGTTCATATGTATGAAAATAGTTTGCCTTTTCACAAATAAGTTTAGAAATTCAGCGAAGCTAAACTGTGAGTATGGTACTCGAACAGCAGAAGGACTGAAAGTTGCTATATGCCTAGAAAGTTAGAATGGACTAGTGCTATTCTTCCTAGATAGTTTTAGTACATACTAATTAGATTTCTGTAATAATAATCCCAATTGTTTTACGAAAATTTTTATTAGGCACTGGATCTTAAGAAGACCATGGTATTTTGTTTGAATAATTAAAAAAATATATATTTGATTAAACGAAACGTAATGACTTTTTCATTTATACTTACGCTTTAGTTAAAAAAATTGAGTTCCAGGTGATAATTAACAATAATTATAGAGAATGAAAATCATATATTCAAATTTTTTCTAATGTAACTGAAAACGTATAAAACTACCCTGATTTATTATCACTTTTTATGGTTTACTTAATCAATGGCATGCACGTGTCTTGAAGTACATTTTCTGCTAACCACTTTTTTTCAATCCGGAAATGTGTTCAATGTATTGTTTGTCTATGGAAAGAACTACCCTCTTCACCAAGTCTAAAGTTTTCTCCTGCCATGTAAACAAAAAATACCACATTTCAAAGAGGGGAACTTCGTATCCTCTGTAACTCTTTCTCTCTCAAACCTCCGTCAAAACTTCTCTTAAATATTAACCCAACACCTCTACTTGAGATATTTATACCACGTAACCATAGTCACCATCACTGCTCCAGGAGAATGGCGAAGTAAGTTCTTTCCACAGACAGGTTATACAAATTTTTTCATCGGAAAATGTTATTCAACGCCTAATTTTTTAAAGTGTTGTCATACGTGTTTATGCATAGCGTGGCTGATTTCTTGCATAACTGCAATGCTTGATGAAAACAATAAAGCCAAAGAGCTCTTTCCAGAACTGCAAGATAGTATTTCTCCGAAAAGGTTTCTTAGTTCCAGTTTCGTCTTCATAGATATTTCACACTTTTATTGCATGAAAGTACATAAAATAATTAGAAATTCTTGGTGAGGCTAACGACGAGCTGGCTATAATGGTATAACTCGATCTAAAATGTGTTCGCCCTGGTTTGGTTACAATATGGCAAAGTTTATTATCTTCATTGCTAACATAGATTGCTGTGTTGTACTCAGCAATTTTACTATTTTGTTTTAATTCCCTTGATGGAAAAATCAATAATACATCTTTATCTCTCGGATAGATAATGGATGAATAAACAACATTTCTGTTAAAATAGTCGTTATAATTCTCTGCATTTCTGTTCTGAAAAGAACAGAAATTTCTGTTCTGAAAAACAGTCTTATGTTCTCAGTCTTTCTAGTGAAATATTTATGTTTTGGAGAAGTTAATTTTTTTCTTCTAATTTTTAAGAGTTATCTAGTTTTAACACTAGTATTAACGCTTCGAATTCCCCCAAGCACTTTGTCACCGAATTGTTTTGTTATAGTATTTCAAAACTATACTTTGGATAACCTAATCGTAGCACATGTTACAGTCAACGCATGTAATGTCAACGTTCCATAGAATACCAGTATAAATCATTGTATAAAATGAACAGACTTGTGTCTTGTGGATAAATAAAAAAATATGTGAAATATCTTATAGTTAACGTAATCATGGTATGGTTTAGTTAAACCTTACGTAAAATGATTAGGCTTTCTAAAAAATAACAAATGCTTCTTAAGTAAAGTATTGAATGGGGAAATTATCATATACTTTGCCCAGCCACTGTATGAAAAGCCAAGACGCTTTATGAAATGAAAAACGCTCTTTAAACATAGTTTGAAATATGAGAATTATTACAAATTTTGCCTAGTCTTTGGATGAAATGCTTATAAGTTTTTCATTTATCAATTTATAAAAATGCGTAGACGATGTTTGACATATTAATCTTTTCGTACTTTGCAGTAGATTTAAGCATAATATATAATGACTAAGCATTTTGTAGAATCTAAAGTTTCATACATTGACAATAAACCAGATTTTTTTTACTGTATTTAGTTTTAATACTATACACTAGGATACTATGACATATTTTACTGTACAGTGATGTAGAGGAAAGAAATATAAAAAATACCTCAAGTTCGAATGTTGCAAGCTGTTTAATATTTCATTTTATCTTTTATCTGTGTAAAATGTTTTTGGGTATAGAAAAAAGATCAGCACCATATTTTGCTTTCTAACAATTTTGATAAATTAAATACAATATTTCGCATACTTCTTTCCTTATTAGTATAACTATAATTATTTCTTCCTGATCCTTATGTCTGTTACGATTCTTAGGATGTTTTAGAAAATCTGTATAACTGATAATTTTTTTTGTTTTTTTGTAACAGGTATTTTTTCGTTGAAATTAAGAGAGGTTTCCGTTCCTGCAGTTGTGATTAAAGGTGATGACGTATGGTTAAACTGTACTTATGACTTAGAAAAGGAAACACTCTACTCAATAAAATGGCATAAGAACAACGTAGAATTTTACAGATATATACCAGCGGATCATCCTCCTGGACAGAAATATGAGCTTGAAGGAATACATATTGATGTAAGTTAAACATTCTATTAAAAAAAAATTTGGAATAAAATGCAATCAAACCTTACTAATCTGAATATCGATTTAGACATTTCATCATGATATATATATTTTATGTAATGCAGTTTACAGATGCATGTATATATATATATGTATATATATAAGCTCAAAATGAAGAATAAAATAAAGAGAAATTAAAGACATATGAAAAAAAGGGGGAAATAATAAGTAATAAGTAAAAAAATAACAAACAACAGTTTTAAGAAAAAGGGGGGGGAATAAAATTTTATTTAAAAACAGGAAAAAAAGATATAATCTTTTCATCAGCCCACACAATTATATCCGTAAAACAGAGTGCTTTCTGATATTGTATCAAAAAATCCAAAGCAAAATATATTAGTACAATACTGTGAGGAGCACTCAAAAAAATTTTATATGAAAATTACAACAAATAAGATAGAACTGGAATAAAATAGAACTTTTTTTGTCTGCGAAAACATTTTTAAATCATTCTTGAAAAATTTCCGTCCATAAGTCTGATTTCGCTACTCGCTTTATACTACATTTTCACTGTTTCTTCTTTTTATTTTATTTACTGTTTTTTCTTTTTATTTTCTTTTCTTTTCTGTTTTTACATGTTAATTTTACTTATTTTCACTTTTTGTGTTCTATTTTATTTGTTGTAATTTTTGTAAAAAAAAATTTTGAGTGCTCCTCACACTATTGTATTAACATATTTTACTTTGGCTTTATTGATACAATATCAGAAAGCACTCTGTTTTGCGGATATAATCGTGTGGGCTGATGAAAAGATTATATCTTTTTTTCCGGTTTTTTAAATACAATTTTATCCCCCCCCCTTTTTTTTCTAAACTGTTGTTCGTTATTTTTTTACTTATTATTTCCCCCTTTTTTTCATATGTCTTTAATTTCTCTTTGTCTTATTCTACATTTTGAACTTATCTAATGGGTTCTGTTTACTTGCAGCTTAAGGGCAATAAATTAAACTTATTGTTTTTCTTAACTTTCTTCGTGTTTTCTTGTATTNAACATTGCGTGTGCTTGTATATGAAGACCAAAAAGGAAAAAAGAAGACAGATTAACGAAGAAAATTAGGACAAAGAGTAGTAAGTTTTATACACTGCGACTAAGCTGCAAGTACGTAGAACGGATAAAAGAAGTTAAAAATATAGATAAAACATGGAAAAAGAAATAAAGATTTTTCAAAGTAAAAAAAATATATGAAAATTTTTTTGAAAAAAATTAAAAAAATATGTAATAAATCTTAAAAAAAATATATAAATAAAAGCCAGAAAACAAAATAAGGATAAGATATAATCTCTTCGACAGCTCAAACATGTCCGAAAAAAGAGTGCTTTATAATATTTTATTAATATAGCCGTGGCAAAATACACCCATACAATAGTGCGAAGAGCACCGAAAATAATGAAACGAAGATGGAACTTATTAAGCAAAAAATGTTAAATAAAACAAAAAATGCAACAGAAAAAATAAACAATCTAGCCAAAAATGGAAAATAAAAATTCGGAGAATTCAAGAAAATACGGAATAGAACTCAAACAGTAAAGCGATTAGCGAATTCAACTGTATTCACACTTACCGGTATTTTTCTAAAATAATTACAAATGTAACAAGTTTGGCAAATTAAAAATATGTCGTAGCAAGTTTGCCAGATTACAAATAAGAAAATAGAATCATTAATAAGGGATCATGAAATCAACTTATGGGGTGTTCTTACTGAAGTACAGAAGCGCGTTTGATTTGTTAGTTACCTTGGATGGCCCTTAATTTTCATAAATAATTCAAAGTTTATAATTTATAAGACAGAGCCGTGATGGCTCAGGGGATAGAGCGTTCGCTTTCCAAAAAGGTGAACTGTTTCCAATCCCAGTGATGGCTGGTTGATACAAATTCTGCATCCGGCTTGCACCGACCATAGTGCTGACGTATAATATCCTCAGTGGTAGATAGACCATGAGTAAAAGTTCCCTTGCCATCCGGGTAATCATGGGAGCTTTTCGGCTTTTTCCTCTTCATGTAACGCAAATGCGGGTTAGATCCATCAAAAGTCCTCCACGGAGGCAAATTTCTCCCAATACTTGGTGCAAGAATTCCCTTGTCTTCAGGATAAAGTTCAAAATTAAATGGCTACGGAGTTAAACATTAATAGTTGTAAACCCAAAAAATTTGAGTCGGCTGTTCATTTTAATTATAAAATTTTAATGTTAATAACGTTGAATTTTAATTATATTGATGATTTTAGAAAATTTTCAGCATTTAATGAAAAAATAATAATTTAAAAATAATAATTAAAAAAGCACTTAATGAAAAAAAAATTATTCTAAAGAATCCTTTATTAAATAATAGAAGATTTTTAGCCACTGATTAACCCGAATTAGCACATGGTAAAAATATAAATTTAGTTTGCAAAGTAATTTTAATTACAACATACAATTAACTCAACAATTTTATTCAGAATCTAATTACATTGGTTAATTATCCATTGTTTCGTATTAAATTAAAAAATAGTTCTTCCATTTATTTATTTTTTTGCTTGATAAATAAGCATTACTACAAACCTTTTTAATTCTATTCATTTGATTAAAAATGGTATTTACATAAACGTTTTTGGAAACATTAGAATTCTATGTAATTAGTTTATTTATATTAAATTTAAAATCATTTCTTTTATGGTATAAATAAACTATGCAGATATTTTCTTCCTTTTTAATACTTAAATTTAAAAAAATTAAAATTAACATTATCGTCATTATTAATTCCTTGGAGCAAATATTATTTAACAAAATTGTATAATTTTGAAAATAAATGAAGTTAAATCATCAATAAATGCAAAACAAATTTAATATTAAGAGTATAATTTTTTTCCTTATAATGTAAAAATAAATTAGCTAAGAGTGATGAATAATTAGATCATTTTGATATTCCATCAATTTGAGCAAAAATATGTTTTCCAACGAAAAGATAATTATATTTAAAAGACAAAAACTAATTAGAATTTCCCAATAATCAAAATAGCAATCAAGGATATTTTTAAAATCATAGCAATAACTCAAAATAACGTATGTTCTGTAGAGTTATTGATATCTTTTTGTTTAGTCTTTTAGGGAAAGCTATTAAAGAGATCTTGGAAATCAAATGTCACAATACAATAATTTTTTTTTGTTTAATAAATTATAAAATAGGTTGATTATTAGTGATGATCCAAGAAAAAAATTCTATAATATTTTTGATAATTTTATTTAAATAGTTTGAGAAAATTATGTAAGGTTTAGTTAGGCAAGCATTAGATACACAATTGATTGTTCTAAATTTAATAGGAATTTTATGAAATTTTGGACACATTATTAAGTATAGAAATTGCATATTCTCAATTTTAATTTTTTACCTCTTATATTAAGCTAAAATTTTTTTAATGATAACATTATTATTTGAATTAAAAAGCTTAAATTTTTTACTATTATTTAACTCTTTATTTAAGAGTTCAACATAGAATTTTTCACAGAAGATTGCATATTTATTACTAGCTTTGTCTATGGGGGTAATTACAACATTTTTTTGTAGTTAGTTAATCTATCAATCAATTTTGAAAAAAATTGCTGAATTCTTATTAAGTTTTCCTTATTATTAAAAATGAAGTTTTTAAAGTAATAATGAACAGCCCACTTTCATTCTGTTAATATACTTAAAGTTAAAGAGAAGCTTTTTGATATCTTTAAACAAAATTTAATGTGATCATTAAGAAAGTATTTTATAATCTTATTAATTGATATATGGTAAATGGATCTAAATTTTGCGCCTTTTAACATCAAATCTCGTAGTTCTAAGTTTTCTTCTATATTTAAATTATCAGTATGTTTATGATGTTTATCAACAAATTCAAAATATTTCTCTTCTTCACAGTGACATTCATAATCGGAAACTTCTCTAAATGTTTGCTAATATCATTATAATTTAAAGTAGTTCTATCTAAGAGTCTTATAGCTTTTGATTTTCTTAAAGTCTTTTAATTTAAACAAAGTTCTTAAATTTTCAGAAATATTATGAAAAATAAACAATGGATTTTGAAAGTTAGTAACGAATATATAAGTTATCAAAATTTTTCTTTTTAATTGGTGAAAATGTAAGCCTTTTTACTTTAGAAAGATCGAAGCAAATAATTTTGAAGTGCAAACTAGTGAAAGAAAAGTTGTTAATAAGATCTTTAACTTATAAATCTATCATTATCTTTAATAGGGAATATAAAATCTTTTATTTGTTTAATGTTGTAATGTTAATTAAAATCTTTTTCCTTATTAAAAAAACATTTAATTTGTCACCTATAACATAGTTTTATTATACCCTGTTTACCGTTTACCTCAATTTGTACGCTTACTTTAATGTGACAAAATGAGTAAGTTAAAAAGTTATTATTAATCTGTGTATGTTGGAAGGTATCATTTAGTCCATATGGCAAGATTTTTTTGTATAAAAGCTTGTAATTAATTTCTTTTCGTGGTATTAAATAAATATCTTCTACTATATCTAAAATATTAATTTTAACTTTGTTAAAATTATGTACTTTAAAATGATTCAATTATAGGTTACTCCTAATTTTATTGCTGTTCATATCTGTTGATCAATTCTAAAATTGAGAGAGTTACTACTTTGTCCAACATGTTTCATATTACAAAAACAACAGGTTAACATATAAATAGCATCATTAATTTCACAAACAGATTTACAGCTATCGTTATTTTGAATTATTTGCTTTTTGTCAATATTGCAGCGAGTTTTAAATCCCTTATCCCCACACGCTTTACAAGACGGGAAAAATTCTGGAACAAAATTAAATTCAAAAGGGTTTTGTTTTGTATTCAGAGTAGCAGGTTGTCGCTCCGAAGGTCCCCTCTGAATTAAGCTCCTTGTACCGTTTACAACATGTATAAAAATTTAAAATATTTAGCATATTTTTTACCAGGCATTAAATTAATATTTTTGTTCAAGTATATAAGAATAGGCTCAAAAAGCAACATCCCAAATACACGAAATTAGAGAAGCGAATTAAAAACTGAAAGAAAATGAAAAAGGAAAATGAGTTAGGAGTAGTACGTATTCACTGAAATTCTAAAATAAGATTTTCCCTTTATTCTACACCTGACAACATGTGATTTGTAATAACTTAATCTTTAATCACTAAGAATTTTTCCGTCATTTACTCTTTCTTGGAATTTGAGTTCATTTAAATTACACAAAATTATAGGTTGGAATCTTATTGGTTCTTTCAAAAATAATTTTTAGTAATTATCTCTAATAATTAATCATTCCTAATAATTAATCATGATAATTAATCATTCCTAATATTATTAGTCCTACATTGTTGGCAACAATGTAGGACTAATAATATTGCTTTGTCTAATAATAAAAGGAAATTATAGGTAGGATTTCCTTAGTATATCAAAATTAAATTTATACTAATGTTGTTTATTCTTGACAAATCCATCATCGAACGGTTTTAATAATTTTATTTTATCTTATAACCGTCGGTGAACAGCCGACGTAAATTTGGGTTTACGACTACTAATATTCGACTCCGTAGCCTTGTAATTTTGAACCCAATCTAGAAGACAAGGGAACTCATGGATCAAGTATTGGGAGAAATTCGATAATTTATATTTTTTCACCAAAAGTAGAAAGGGAAATAGTTATATTTTCTTAAGCAAATTGGAAAAAAAGTTATATTGCACTGTAATTTATGCTAAACATTTTTTAACTGTAGTTAAGAACAAAATGATTTAAATTTACGGTACATATTTTTGCTTCTAAATTCTATTTTTGCTTCTTTGTTTCTAAAAAAACTACAACTTTCTAAACCTAAAAAATTTAAATATTGAAGCAGAGATCTTTGTAATATTTTTTTAAAAAAGTAAAAACGAAATCTAAAGTTTTTTCTTTGCTTGTGTTTAACTGACTCTGTTTTAAAAACAAAATGTGTTTAAAAATGAGTATATATACATATTTTTTTAATTTCTAATAATATATTTAATAGAAAATATTTTTTCAGTTCTTTTACCTTTCGTTTAGTTATGGCAAACAACGCTACAATCTAAATTAATAGCGACCGTCTTTAATTAATAAATACTAGTTAATTAAATTAAAATTGAATCCGCTATAAATAAACATAATAAAAAATGAGCTTCACAACATTAAAAAAATATTTTCAATTAATCAGTTTAATAGAATTTATACGCATCTTTTTAGTTTTGTTGTGATACTTTACTTAAGCATACTGAAAAATAATCCTTTTTTAAGGTTTACAAAAAGTTAAGTAGATAAGAGAAATTTCTACGTCTGGTATTCTTTTTAATGTCCTGTGCAATTTAATTAAATTTTTTCAATTTAAAAATCGTTTAAATAAATATTATAGTTGTAGAAATAATATAAGTTGTTACTCTCTATAATAGAAAGATATTAAGGAAAATCAATTAACTTCTTCTTTTTCTATTATTAATTAATATATTAATATTAACGTCCACCAATATTAATCCATAGCTTGATCATTGTGTTACGATGGAATATGTAAATTGTTTTAAACTTGAGGCTATTTTTTTATAAAAAATATAATACAAAAAAATTATTTTTTGTTAACTTAATATTTCAGTGAATCTAATTAGCAGCACAGCCTTTTGTCACAAATCTAAAGAAATACAGTTATCTTTACAGCGATATTTTAATATGAATTTCTAATTTTATTTAAATTGACTCAAAATATGAATGACTCAAAATATGGATTGAATAAACTCAATATTAAAAATGAATTTTTACTTGACTTAAATTGTCCTCGTATTAAACTGATGTGACGTCTTATGATCAAAATTTCCACTAATTTTGAACTAGATAGAGCACATAAATCTGTACTGAAACTCCGTTTTTGATGACAATGCATCATACACGATTCAATCGTTTTCTAACTGATGTAAATTTCGTTGAAAAATTTTTTTTCTCTGCCTATATCACATTTTTTTTAATATTTTTAATAGCAAATGCTATTTTACATTTTAAATCAACTATATTTCATGAATTTAGCTAAGAAGAAGTCATGAAGGAAACATATATATGCCAACCACTGATGTTAATTCAGAGGGAATTTATCGATGCGAAGTTTCTTCGGAAGCGCCTATTTTTCGAACTGTGAAAGGAGAAAGAGAGATGAGGATTTATGGTGAGCAATAAAACCTTTTCTTAAAGTGTTTTTTTTTCTTCATCTCTATTCTTTTCTTTTCTTTTTTATTAGTTTCTGTATAACAATGATATTGAATCGCATTATTAATACCAATGAAATGAAAAGTTTTATTTCTTATGATCACTTTTATGCCAACATTTTGTCAATTTTAGCATTAATGTATGCACCTTCTTCTTGTTTGGTATAAATTTTTATTTTATAAATACGTAATTTTTTATTATATATAATAAAAAGTATCTATTTAATGTCTTTCATTCATTTCACTGATTAACGAAATCTAAAATTGCATTGTTATTACCTTCTTTGCTTTTGTTCAGTTTTTAGAATTTTTTAGAATGTATTTTTATTTGGTTCAGTTAGAAGTTAAATGCTTAATTGTTTCCTTAATATTGTATTTAATTCATTAATTATGTTAATTTTTATCTTCGACAAAGTTTTCTTATTTTTAATTAACATATAATCAGCGTAGATTCAATGGATATTTTACTTAAATACTCGTTACAAAATCAAAGATTTCTAAAATTGATGTTTGTTTAATTATTTCATTTACAGAATAGAAAAATTTTTTTTAAAATATAAAACTTTAGCGTGCCTAGATTTTTTAAAGACATCAAGCATCACTCCAAAGGGAGTAAATATTATTGATTTGAAATATAAGTAATTTTTGAAAGAAAAAAACAATACAAAACGTAATATGTTAATTAAGTTTTAAAAGCAATCGAAATTCAATAGAAAAATCGCTAATTTAATTGAAAATATAAGCTTTATAGTTATCATTTCAAACTAATTTAGTCAATCCTCATTATTTTATTTCATTCAGTCAATCCCAGTACAAGGCCTCAAATCTTGGGCAGCAAACAGCATTATGGTATTGGAGATATGGTAAATGTAACATGTATATCTGCACCTTCAAGACCAGCAGCATTTTTGAAGTGGCTTATAAACAGTAGAGAAATTGAGGTAAGAATATACGCATAGTTATAGAATTTCATATATATATTAGAAATTTATAGTTATTAATTTACTTTTAAAGGTTTTGTTAAAAAATATTGCTTACGTTTCAATTATTTTGATCCCCAATACAAGCTTCGAAGAAACATTTTTGTTCAGGACAACAGCAATTTGACATATATGTGTTGAAAATGCACAAACTAATTATTTTTCAGAAAATATTTATAATCGTCGTTGAACCCGATTTTGGGTTAACGCCTACTAATGTCCAACTCCTTAGCTTTGTAATTTTGAACCCTATTCAGAAGACAAGAGAACTCCTTGATTAAGCATTGGGGGAATTTCGCCTTTGTGGAGGACTTTTTTGATGGAACTAACCCACATCCACGATGCATGGATAGGAAAACCACGAAAACCTCCCACAGTTAGTCTGACGGAAAGGGGACTCTATCCCATGATCCGTCTACCACTGAGGATATTTTACGTCAGCATCGTGATCGGTACAAGCCGTATGCAGAATTCGTATTGACCAGTTATCGCTAGGATTTAAATCCAGTTCACCCAATTGGAAGGAGAAAGCTCTATCCCCTGCTCTTACTTGCTTAAAAGCCATGATTTTATTTTTAGATTAAAAGTTACCAAAATGTAAGATATCAATTGCTTCTGCTGCATTATTTTTTAATAATAATTATTGTTCTAATTACTACAGCGTACTTTTTATTCTGATTAGAATTCCTGAGAGGGGATCATTGTTTCTCAATATTTCTAATAGTTTAAAAAGGCATTTCTAAACTGCTCCAAAAACTCACTGTCACAGACTGGTTCAAATAGTCATAAAACCAATTATGTAACTGAATACTTGCAATTTAATTAGTTTAACTATATATTTAAATTAAATTATAATAATGAAGTTATAATTTATATTTTTATTATAGCCTCGTAGTAGTCAACTTCATCGCCAAACCCCAGTTGAAGAGCCTGTTGGTTTGTTTACATCGATTCTTGTGTTGACGTTTTACGCTAAGCATGAGCACTTTGAAGATGGAAAGATGAGATTACAATGTGAGGCCATGATTTCTCAAGCACACATGCTCAGAAGTGAGGAAATCACGATCACGAATTCAACAAGAGCTGCAGCTGCAACTTTGTCCGATTTTGGTAAATTCACTTTTTACTTCCATTTGCTTCATTTGCAATCAACATTTTTTTAGTATTCAGGTGAAAAAAAGAGTGAACATTATGTAAAATATACATAAACTAAAAAAGCGTGAGAAAGCAAAGAAAAAGCTGATAAATAAGGATATTGTTTTGGTTCTTCAATGAAAAATCTTCATCAGTGTCCAAAAACAGAATCCAATAAATAAACACTGAAGTTCTGTGTCTGGATATTTAGGTTATATATAACATTCCTGATAGACGAGAAAAATATATAATCAAAACTACAAGAATATGAAAACATTTACTGAGTTTCTGGGTCTGTGGGAAAGCGAAAATGAACAGTAAGTTTTTTGGGAAACGCTTTAGTATTGATTTTGGTAAAATTAACAATAAAATGTGTTTTATATTGTGTAATAAAGTTTGGTAAATATGGTGAAATTCCATACAATTTGGTAACTGTCATGATAGCTTAGAGCACGTAATTAAAAACATTTATTTGGTTAAATTTAATTTATGTTCTGTGTTTTTTGTGAGAAAATAAGAACTATATATCTTTGAAAACCAGAATTTCCGTTAAAACGCTACTATATGAACAGGAAAATTACCAAATAAATAGTTTAGAGACCATATATTTTAGTTTTATTACCAGAATTATGGTTTTTGTTAATAAAAATGTCAATACCATGGTGCTTGGTAATTTTATCAGTTTTTTTTTCTGCGTATTATTTTACTTGTTTCGTTAAAACAATATACTTCTGTTTATAATTTGTTTGTTTAAAAGGTTTGTCATTTTAGAAATAATTTTTAAGCGATTTGAATTCTGTTTGATGTTTGAACATCGACGAAAGTTCTTTATTACACAGAATTATAAACTTTATTATGGAAATCTTATGGAAATTATAAACTTTATTATCTTGTTGGATAATTACCTGTGCTTCGTAATAATAAAAAATAAAGAATAAAGGATAATAACAAAGAAAGTATATAATCAATAAATCAGTATTAATCAATACTACAGAATTTGGCACGAAACTGAAAAACTTCAGCAGAAACAATTCATAAAGCTAAAATAATTGCAACTTTTATTATTGTTTGTTGTCCTTCAGAGCAACTTTATATTATTAAATTAATCAAAACCTGCTTTTAAAACTTAAGCTCATCAAAATAAAGTTTAACTATTACAGTAATGCAATTCACATCGACAATGAACAATGCGATTGTTGTTTAATGCGAATTTCCACAATTAAGCAATTTTTCACTTTAGTACATTAATTATTTTTTTAAGAAAGGAGTCCTGATTTCTCGGTGTTCCTCTATTATACAGGGTTATTCATAATTCCATCCGGAGTTTCGAAGCGTTATAGTAAAAAAACGGAGACGAATATGGCAAAAAAGATCATATAAAATTGTTCCGAAGTTTTAAGCAGTTGCCGGTAGATGGCAGTAACATGTACCACTGAAGCCAGTTGTAGTTAAGAAAAATGGTGTTTACAGGCGGAGGGAATTATAAATAAACCTGTATTTCGAATATGAACTGATATAACAAATAAAGAATGATTTATGATTTTTTTAAACATAATCCCGTCTCCGATCTTCCGGTCATCAGTTCAACATAATAAAGAACGATAAGAACCGATCTCCAGAATTTTTGTCTGTAATATAAAATAGAAAATAGTTGAGAATAGTATAGGACGTTACTGAGTTGTTCTCTTATCATAGCCACGTCGTAGTTGCTAAGGGGCTAGGTATATGTTTCTATGAGTCCTAGATTTTTACGTATGGCTACTTACTGCCATGAATGTTTGAAGAGTCATATATTCAGAATAGGACCTCCATTCTATTAAAGATCTATTATTCAAAATGTAAAAAATGCATGAAGAATATTTTTCTTTTTTGGTTAAAGGCGGGCACTTGGGTCTGTTTCCAATTGGCCTCAGAAATGCCAGAATTGCTACTTTCTATCATTACCCAGTGAGCACCTACGGCTAAGCCACTGCGGTGGAGTAGCGTCGCCCACGTCATATAACCACAACCCGTTTATAGGGCCGGCACGCTAACCACTCGGCCACCTGGTCGGCTGCATGAAGAATAAAAAATGGGCAAGCCCAATTAACTCTATTTCGAGCTAAACAGAGCTGTATACTGGCAAACATCAAAAGCATTGTATTTTAGTTATTTGAAGAAAAAAAAAGAATCTTCTACATACAGTAGAAACTGTGGTGCAATACCTATTACATTTTGTTGTTGATAAACTCTTAAAAGTGCACGATGCATTACTTTATATCAAGTTAATACCTAACAGAGTATCAAATGATGCAATTAAATCTTAACACCAATAATTGATAAAGTTTACACCAATATGCAGCTCGTTGGTGAAGAAGATTGTATAAGGCCGAGTTATTCTGGTTGGTCTAACGTTGGGATCATGAACGTGAAGATAGGAGTTCGAATTCTGCCGACCAAAGAATCGTCGTGCATTAAATAGTGTCTGGTGTTCTTTAAATTTGTCAGGGTGACAAAGTCCTCCAAGCTCCTATAACAAATCAATACCTTTGGGGGTGCTGAATTGGAGATTGATTGTTCTCTGGTTCAGGTCAAAATAACGATCTGTGGATGAATGAATTGAGTATGATTGAGTCCTTCCTGTAAAGCGAGATCTGACTTGTGTGCGGGTGAAGTTGTATTGTTGATCATAGATGGCGCCACTGAAAAAACAAGAAACGTACCCTAAACTTTAAAAACCTTAAAAATTCGCTTGATTTTAAGCAGGCTTGCTTGTAATGGCAAGTGACATAAGTAACAACAACAGAAGATACTTAAATTTGCTGAATAATTAGGGAATATTAAAACTATTTAACTAAATCTCTGCGTGAAATAATGGTGGGGCATTTTTAAATGTATAACAAGTGCTTTTGGACCATTATTAGAAGTTTGTGGCCAGTAATCGTGCAATTCAAATACAATGACAATATAGAGGTTTGTTTATATGAAGTGTACTGGTGAAATATGAGTTTCATGCCGGATTTAAGTGACAAAACGGACAGAGACTACCTAGGAAGTTTCACTTCACTTTACATAGTGATAAAAAGTATTGATTGTTGCAGACTGTTTGCTAAATAACTTCACTCTTCTTATCGGATTGATTAAACAAGTTACTGACATAAACTGTTATAATATTCTTGTATGTTTTTAGTTGTACAACAAAGATATTTATGTTCTCACAAGATTTACATAAATCTATAAATCGTATGAAATAATTTTATAGTACTTAACTATAAAATTATTACATACGATTCTATTCGTTTTAGTTTTGTTCGAATTCATATTAATATTCTGTTTGTGCTGTGCGCATGCTCGATTAGCAATCGAATTTTCTTTTAAGAAATATTATATGTATGCATCCTAAATTTATGATTCTTGTTTTCATAAAAGTAACGACTGATTCTTATGTGAATCATATTTTACTGCAATTATTAATTTTAGTGTTACTCAATATCAAACATGGAGGCGGGTACTTACATCAAATAGTTTTAAAGAACATTCTAGGAACACCAAGGACTATCCTTTTTTTCGGTGTGGTGCAATATTTCGTGAAACACTACTTTGCTGTTTGCCTCTATTTTTGGTATTTAGATACGTCAAATGTTTTTTTTTTCACAATGCAGTTGAAATTGCAACAAAGCCGAATGCTAGAACATATGAAAATTTTCCTCTTTCAAATATTCCAACGAACAGAACAAAGTCTAATGCTAGAATATATGACAAAATTTCCTTTTTCGAACATTCCAACGAACTGTACAAAGCCTAATGCTAGAACATATGACAAAATTTCCTTTTTCAAACATTCCAACGAACTGATTAATTGATATTTTTGAATGCTTTTTGGATAAAAGGTTAAAACTACCCTTTGTACATGCTGTATGAATTTCAAGATCATAGCACAAATATCTCTGGAAATATGAAGTGGTTACCCACGAGCATACTAATTTTTTCTTATTATAGATTTTTTTAAAAATTACTGAGTCAATTTATTCCTTCTCTCAAAAATTTTAAATTTTAAATATATATAACAAGAAATTAAGAAAAGCAACTTTATTTCATCATTAAGAGTATTTTAATTTTTTTAAACGTGAACAATCGCTTCTTATTTAATGCGGTTAAAGCACAGAAATAATAAAATAGCCTTTAAAGGCGAGTATTTGAACGTATATTAAAAAAGGTTTATGTTTCACGAAAATACTTTAGACTATGTCATTTTCCGTGCCAATTTTAAAACTCCTGATAACAAATTGTTTTCTTTTATGACATATTATTTGTGCCTTTAACATTTTATTTTATGTAATTTAACTTTTCGAAAGTAAACTTCTCGCAGAAAATATTTTCTAAGTAAGTACTTTTATAAAACACCATTTAATGCTTTGGCACTGCCAACGCCAAAAATGGATGTGACTACTTTGGAAGATACTACTATGGAAATTGTAGTATTGGCGACTACTATGGAAACGTTCATACGAAATTCTTGGATTTAGTGTTTTAAGACACCAATGTTCTTTTGGTGCAAAGTAGTCGTGACTATTTTGTTTTTCATTAAAACACTGCACTTTATATTTACAATAAGATAAGATAGACATAAATGTCAGTAACTTTATTTTTAAAATGCAATATAAAAATAATTATTATTAATTTAGCATGCATCTATACATCTAATAAAAAAAAAAAAAGATAGTTTATGCATCAAACGTACGCGTCTAACAAAGAGAATATTAGATGGATTCGAATTAGGCTTAGCAAAACGGAGGCGAATAGAAATTTTACGTTATAAAATTATTGAGAGATTTAAAAATAAAAATTTATTTATATTCTTATTACTCAACTAAAAAGGTGAATATTTTAACTGCAAATTTTGCTTCTGTTAAGGAATATCAGCTTAAAAGACAGCAAAAAGATCTCGCCAACTCATTTTATGTTGCAAGCAAGTAACTGACGATATTCAAATACGCGCGAACATTGGAGTTAAGGGAAGTAAAATTAACTCTCCTATGGACTTGAAAAACGAGAATTTGTTGTAGGTTTATTCAATTTGAAATGTTTGAATTACACCTTTTAAATCGTATCTTCATGATCGTTTCAAAGTATTCCTTTATACAATTATCTGGGTTGATCAACATCATATTCGAAGAGATATTACGCTACAGGTTTTACGGAATATGTAAATTATACACGGTGTCTTTTTTCTTCTCTTTTTTGTCATATTAAGGTTGTAACAAAAATCTAAAACTGAATAACCAAAAACACTTTTTTGCTATCATCAAAATTTATGATTTTTATGTTTTTTTATTTGTTACAATAAATATTTTTATATAGCGCCATTTTATTGTATTCAAGTTTTTATCTTAAATGAAACACAGTATTTTATTCTATTATATTTGTTTGATATTTAAACCAGCAAAATTTTTTTAAATATAATCACTATAGTTTATTAAGTTTACGTAAAAGTAATATTAGAAACGGCTAAAAATTTGAAATTAAAATAATTAAAGTTTAAATGTCTAAAATTAACAAGCGATAACAACATTTGAAAAGTAAATTACTTTTATTTTATTTAATGAAGAAATTTATGACTTATCACATGGTATGACTGTATACATTGGAAAAAATGTATACTCAAATATCATGAAACTTTCTTCATTTCAGACGAAACCGTTTTCAGTTATATGCTCTGAGTGAATATTTTGTCAAAGTTACGAAATAACTATCGCCCCTTCTTCAAGGAAACATATTTCGCCAAAAGTAAAGAAATATTTCGTCATTCCTATTCTCGTCTTCTAATTTTTCCTAAAAAAAAACCTTGTAGTTTCTTATGTATATAACCTTTCTAATAATAACTTAATCGTGAGCACAATTTCGGCACAACAAAGACAAATACACTGGTTATCATAAATTAAGGAAAATTCACAAAAATCGCGATAACTCAAGAAATTACACATGGAATTTTATGAAACTTACCCACAATATACAACACATAGTAAGGTATTAAACAACATAAAAAGAAATTATCAGACATTAATAGTAGTATAGAAATTAGCACATGTATAAAATAAACAAATTGGAAGTATCGGTTTGCAATAGAAAAAGTACCTTTAATATGGAATATGATTGCCTCTAGAAGCAATACAGCACAAACAGCGATGTGTGATGCTTTCAATTATGCGGTCTATCAGTTCAATAGGAAGTGAGAGCCATTGCTCTTGTAAAGCAGTTGCAAGCGTGGCAAGGGTCTGAGGGGGCGGATTGATGGCAGATACACGCCTCCCTAGAGCATCCCAAACGTGCTCGATAGGATTCAAGTCCGGGGATCGAGCTGGCCACTCCATGCGAGTAATTGTTTCCTGTTGAAGATAATCATCAACAATGCGAGCTCTGTGTGGTCTTGCATTATCGTCCTGTAACAGGAAGCAATCACCAATTGCCCCGGCATATGGGCGCACATAAGCATCAAGGATGTTGTCTCGATAAACCTGAGCATTCACGGTTCCCCTTGGAAAGACATGGAGGTATGTGCGCCCTCCTAAGGATATGCCTCCCCAAACACAGACACTGCCTCTTCCGTATGCATCTCTTTCACGGATGTTTGATGGATGATAACGGGTCCCAGGTTCTCTCCATATCAAATAACGTCTACTGTCACTTTCTAGACTAAACCTGGACTCATCCGTAAAGAGAACAGGCCTCCATTGATCTGACGTCCAGTGGACATGTTGTCGGGCCCACTGCAAACGGTCTCTCCTATGGCGTGATGTGAGCGGCACGCAAATGGCTGGTCGTCTCGCATACAGACCACCTTCGTGGAGCCTTCTGCGCACAGTTGACGTTGACACCAACCTTCCGGTGGCTGCAGCAAGAGAGGATCTAAGATGTGTCGGAGTAGCGGTTCTATTCCTGCGTGCACTTAATGTCAAATATCGGTCATCGGCACTGGTCGTAACAGTTGGCCGTCCTTGACTGAACCTCCTAGATGCCGAATCTGTGGTTTGAAATTGCCTCCAAAGTCTATGAACCACAGATGGACTCACATTTAGCCATCTGGCCACTTCTGATTGACTCTGCCCTGCCTCTAGTCTCCCGATGGCTCTCCATCGTAGTTCTTCAGGCAAATGATGCCTAGAGGTCATTATTACGAATTGGCTATCTCAGATTTTCAATGTCGCAATCACAGTAAAATTTGTGTGCTTTCTCTCAAACTTGGACTTTTATGCTCCAGGCAGATGACGTAAGCCGAGTGCAGCGCCACTAATTTGCATATTGCAATTTTACTCAGCTACTCTTAGTGGACAACATATGCAAATTTTGCACGGTTTGGCTTACTTTTGAAAGAGTTATCGCTATTTTTGTGATTTTTCCTTAATTTATGATAACCAGTGTAGAATAGAGAGATTAATTACACCCCTCAGCGAGATTCGAATCCCAGATCTTCCTGGTAGGAGGCCAACTCCTTGATAATACAGACAGATCGGCTTAATTTGTCACTTTATTTCTGATTGTCTGATCTTAATTCTAGTTTCGTCATTCTGGTTAACTCTCTTCTCCAATGCGCTACGACGAAGTTTCGAGATGCATTTCAAGTAAACATTTTCAGCGTATCTTTGTGTGTTCGCTTTTCGTCACAAATCACGTACATGAAGAAGCGACTCTCCAAAAAATGCTCAAAGATTGAAATTCTTTAGAGTTTTGTTTCCGAGAGTGTAGTAGAGTGGAACTATGCACAGTAACAACGCCTCTAATCAATGTCTCTTTCTTTATGTTGACGTTGAACGGGATTCATCGTTTAAACAAATTTATGACGCCTTTTTTTGTATAATATTCAGTTTTAATGACAGAAATTAACGATAATAGTAAGTTGTTATTGTTTCCAATCCCAGCTGGGATAGCGGAGCAATACCAGATCCATGAAGCCGTGAGTCTTCAAAGAATCAAGGAAAAGGAGAGATCTCTCAAGAACCTCTTCCACGGTGAAATCCAGGCAATCAAGTAGATGGTGAGGACTAGCCTTGCTGGAGTTGCACTTTTTACAAGTTGGAAAAAGTTTAATTTGTCCACTGAAAGTGAGGCTCTTAGTATGCCCACTGACAAATCTGCAGGTAGCGGTTTGGTCGGCACGTGTACCCTGAAGATCAAGGTCTCTTCCAGGACGCTTGCGGTTATACCAATTGTGATCCGGTGGAACAAGCCAATCTTTATTAACTTTAAATTTGCGGATAGAAAATAATTCAGAGTAAGTGAGGGCCTTGTTTGGGGAGGCTGGGAGGGAAGTACCTTCTTTTGCCAACTGATCAGCACGTTCGTTGCCAAAAAGACCCACGTGTGAGGGTATCCACTGAATATGGATGTCATGGTAATAAAATCGTAAGTAATTAATATTTATCCTACTATTAATGAAATGAAGACACTTGTTGCGGAATATTTTTCTGAAACATTGATATCAGCAAGCTAACAACTGTAGTAAAGCATACTGGTAGAACATCAAACATGTGACATCACTGCTATTCAGCCATATTTATGCCGATTCATAAATGAAAACACTATCAAAAGAATGCATAGAATTGCTATCAAAATAATACACGAAGAATTAAACTGCAAAATTTTCCACACTTGTTGCAACACCCTGTTATTTAGGAAAATAGAATTTTTTTTTTCTTTCACATGGTTCAAATATGGCGACATTTTCTTTCTTTTAGATACCATGAAAGATGGTCCAACAATATCAGGAGGTAAGAGTGAATACCAAGTAGGTGAAACAGTGGATGTCAATTGCACCGCCTCGAGATCTCAACCACCGGCAGAACTGCATTGGTATATCAATGACAAAGAGGTAATGCACACTGCGATTACTTTCTAATTGTAAACACAAATATTTATTTTTCTTATTGATGGCAATGAGCTATTCCGTTCTCAACAACGGAAGATGCCGAAAGAGATGCTCATTTGACAATACCCATCGGGTACTTGTTAATCTGGGTTTCAAAGCGGCACAGCAACAGTTACCCGTGTAAAAGGTGGGTCACTTTCACACATCACAAAACAGAGAAAAAACACAAAGAAAAACACCCATGTGAGCGGGATTCGAACTCTCGACCATTGGCTTCAAAGTCAAGTACCCTGATAGACCATAAGATTGCCAATAACAAATACGGATACAGTAAACAGTTTTAATCTGTTTTATTTTATTTTAAAACATCTAACAGTGTATAATTATAACTGATGCTATGTGAGCAGTGATTGTTCGGAGTATAAAGCATTCGCTTCCCCCTCCCCCAATGAGGTTATACAGGTAGGAATTTTAACAATGGCTCGTTGATACGAATTCTGCTCCAGGATCGTATTGACTACAGTGCTGATGTAAAATATCCTTAGTGCTAGACGGGTGATAGGTTATAACCCCATGCCATTGAGTAGACCATTGGAGAATTTCGTGATTTTCCTCCCTACGTATAGCAAGTACTTCTATTAAAATGTCCGCCACGAAAGCTACTTTATCCAACTGCTTGATCCAGGAGTTCCCAAGCCCTCATGGTTGTGTTCAAAATTATAAGGACACGGAGTTGAACATTGGTAGTTGTAAACTCGGAATCGGGTCGGCTGTTCAATGTCGGTTATAAAATAAAAATTTTAATGAATCGTGCAAATTCTTTTATTAAAAATGCACTACACTTAGCCCACTAGTGATTAAACAAAAGGGACAAATTGTAGAGAATGTTTCTCCCTTAAACACTATTTCTCAGTTTTCTTCAGATCTGCAGTTCTATTCAGATATGCAGTTCAACACTGGTTATAAAATAAAATAAAAGTTGCAAAGCTTTAATAACTATCGCATTATTCGAAGTCTGTCCATTTAAGAATCGCAGTCTTATAAAAATCTGTTTTAAAGTAGAACCATAAATGCTACTGACAAAAAGATGTCAAAACTCTTCAATAATAATTCTTAATCATTCTCAGTCATTTTTTTAAGAGTCACTTAAGTCATTTTCAGTAAATGTTCAAACTGTCTTAATTAGCCTATACTGTCTACTGCGAATGAATTAACTGCTTAACTGCCGTAGATTGATATGAGTAAAGCGTTGAAACTAATTTTGTTGACACTAACACAGAATGCCCAAATGCTTCTAAAATTTTCACTTTTGAACTATTTATATTAAAAAAAAAGAATCTTGTCATCCAACTAATTTGCATATTATCTCAGCAAATATTTTTTTTCCAATGGCAGGCACTGAAATTTATTCGTTTCGCCTTAGAAGATGCCAGAGTTGTTACTCATTTCGCGTTACCCAGTGGGCACCTGCGAACCAAATTCATGGAGGCGAGTACAGTGCCCACGTCGCACTGCCACTAACCCATTTACAGGATGGGCCACATTCATACATCACACACAACAGAGGACAACACAAGAGAGAGAAATATCCATGCCCTGTGCGAGATTCGAACCCGCAGCCATTGGCCTCGCAGCCAGGCGCGCTAACCGCTCGGCCACCTGGCCGGAATCTCAGCAAATATAAATAGATTTAACGAACTTAATAGATAACTTAAATAGATTTGATATAACTCATTAAATCATATTATGTTACTTAAATAGATTTGATAAAACTCCTTAAGTCATATTATATAACTTAAATAGATTAGATATGAAAACTCATTAAATATAATAAGATAATAGATTTGATGTGTAATAAATGGATTTGACTACTATGAATTTCTGCAGGCTGCAATTAAAGATACAATTAATGATACAAAGATAAATCAACTTGTTACTTAATATTCCTTAATAATTACTTATTACTTAAATAGTGCAAAAAAAGTGTTAAGTCCAGAGACGTGTATTTTTAGAATAGATTAGATATAAAAACTCATCAAATATAATAAGATAATGGATTTGATGTATATAATAAATGGATTTGACTGCTATGAATTTCTGCAGACCGCTTAAAGATACAATTAATGATGCAAAGATAAATCAACTTGTTACTTAATATTATTTAATAATTACTTATTACTTAAATAGTGCAAAGAAAAGTGTTAAGTCCAGAGAAGTGTATTTTTAGAATAGATTAGATATAAAAACTCGTCAAATATAATAAGATCCCTTAGTATAATAGATTTGATGTGTATAAAAAACGGATTTGACTGCTATGAATTTCTGCAGACTGTTTAAAGATTCAAATAATGATACAAAGATAAATCAACTTGTTACTTAATATTCCTTAATAATTACTTATTACTTAAATAGTGCAAAAAAAAGTGTTAAGTCCAGAGACGTGTATTTTAGATCGATGTATTTTTGTAGAATCATATATGTAGCTTACAAACAATGATTTGTTTAATGTTATAGGTGAGGACAGAGCACCTCATAAAGCGTCCATCTATCATTGACCGAGATGGAGAATCAACAGTCCTGGGTTTGCGTTTTGAAGTGAAATCTAGACACTTTATTAAGAATGAGATGAGATTGAGATGCACGGCAACTCTGTCTGAAGTGAAAACAATGACAAGTGAACCTCAAGAAGCGGAAATAGCAGAGCAGAAGGAATCCCGTTTGCATGTAGATGATCATCTTAGGGCTCAATCTGGTACGCAACACCTTTATACACGTAGTTGACTGCTTTTCATGTTATTTAATATGATTGATAACATATAGTTTAAAAAAAAGGGTATTACTACCCTTGCCCTTGCACATTGCACTAAGTTCTTCAATTTTGTTTTAAAACTTGACATTGTAATCAATTTAATGTTTCAGCAAAGGCAAGCAATGCTAGTAAAAAGTAAATTAATATTATTATGGTACCATTTTTGTCCCATTATGTCACATCTCCTTCAATCTTCTTTTATTTGATTTTAGTATTGCATTTAAAGATTCGTTTAAAGAAATGTTTAAAGATTCGTAGTTACCATTAATTTTGTTTTACAATAAAAATTTAAATATGTTTATTTTTTAATTTTAAGATAAGCTTCATTTACTTTTATAATAAACTTTGAGTAAAACTGTTTTGAGTCAACGTATAAAATTAAAATGGGGAATGCAAAATTACCATTTAAAATTCTAAAGGAAATATTAAAAGCATTGCACTGTAAAAAAGAAAATAATAAATTCAGGCTGCCAGTAGATTCACCCACAAACTTCATTTTTACCGAAGCATGTTACGGAGCAAATACTCTAATATACCGCAATTTTTACAGTAATAATTACCGTAAAGTTACTGAATCACTCTTATAACAGCAAAATTTACGGTATATTATTTTATGGTAATGACGGATTTTATGAAGCATGTACCTGACGAGCCGTTACTTTATGCTGTAATTTGATCAGTAATTTTTTACAATGCATTGCAATAAATATTACACACATTCTTATAGTTATTGAAAAGTTGAAAAAATTTTTTTTAAAGATAATCGAACAAAATTATTAAGTTTAAACTTCAAACCAATCGAATCGGAATGACCAGTGGATCAAATATGTGATAATACATCGAAACATTTTAGAATCTTATAATTGAACCGTTTTTTATTTCTAAATAACAATCAGAGTTTATCGCTAAAAAAATAAAATGATTGCGTTGCAATCATGGGAACTGACTGTAAAACGCCGTACATTGTAATGCATAAAATTATACATTGTATGATTTACTAATTTTACATTAATTGCCTAAACTATCTTGCCTAAAAACTATCTGTTAATAAAACTTTAATTTAATACTGAGAACTTGTTTCATAGATACTTGCTAAGGCACTTTCTTTTTTTATTTTAGTTTCAAGTATATCTACAAACTTTGATGCATCAGTCATTTCCTTATGGAGTATTATTCTCATATCCCATCTATGGTGTTTACTATAAACCACGGAAATCTATGCATTTGAACCGTTTTTTTAATGATTCCCTTATATGTGTGGCAGAAAGGAGACACAGCAAAACATGTACCAGAGTCTTTCAAGTGTGTCGCCAAGAAAAGGGATAGAAACCAAATCCCATAAAATAAATGCTTTTATTTCGGAAGAAGATTCCAATAATAATCAACCGGATGGAATCGTCAGTCTTTACATTGTGATCAATGGTAAAACTGTATGAGAAGAAAAAAGAAAAGTAAAGCGAGCTCTGACCGGGGGGAAAAAATGCTGGCTTATTGACGGTAATGGTGAGAAATAAGATGGTCGTAGCTTATCACTGATTTTGTAAAATAAAATGATGAAAAAAAAAAAAAGGATTCGAAAGTGTGTTCTACGAAACCGGTGAACAATCAAGATATGTCTGTGAAAGCCATTATTGTTTGTTTGAGACAAATTTTCTTATTTGTTCTTCGTTTTTTGGAATTGGAACGGAGGAGCGAAGCCTTGCTTCTTTATTGATGTTTTTTACTCAATGGATTACTTTTTCTAATGGACTAAAAAGGAAAATGTAAAAAAAGTGTTTAAAAATGTGAAGAACTTGAATTGCCTTGTACAAAACAAATGAAGCCATCCCTCTTTCACTACACTTTTTATTTATTTATTTATTTAAAGTTTGTGTATTTTAACACGGGGAAAAGAAAAACGAATAAACTTACCGTAACTGTTTGGTAATGGCATTTCAGGTAAAAAATAATAATTCTAGTTAATAAAACCCAATTGCCTGGCAATTTTTCTTTTCTATTGGTATTTTTTTGTTCATATGGTAAGAGTATACCAGAAATTCTGGATTTCAAAATTCTGTTTCGTATTACCACATATTACCACATATTTAGCAAAAATACATAACTGAAAAGTAAATTTAAACGAATAAATAACTTTTAAGTGTCAAGATAAAATTACCAAATTTTACCCCATTTACTAAACGTTATCTATAACAATAACGTTATCTATAACAATAATATTGTTATCTATATCTATAACAAAACACTATAAAACAATATTTTATTGTTAATTTTCCCAAAATTATTTCGAAATCGCTATGGATACAGCTTTTTAGTGCTACCATAGAGTCAGAAACACGGTAAATTTTACTATATTCTGGTAGTTTTGACAATACTTTTTCTCAGCGAAATAAATCCTTATTTAATTAAAAAGAACTTTATTGAATTTGTACAATTTTTCCGACAATGTAGGTTATGTTTTATAAATTTCACAATAGAAAATCCATTTTTTTTATAGTTGCTTATCAATAGTTTTCTAAATTAAATTTACAAGGTTTGAGCTTTACGCCATATATACCCTGCAAAAAACGTATCAAAAATAGTAATAAAGAGCTGGCTGAAAAACATATTGAACAATAAAAAGTAAGTATGCATTGTTTACGTAATTAAAATGTTTAAACGCTGATTTTCCTTTTAATAAGATAATGATCCCCTTGCCACCAGGCTAACCGTGGGGGGCTTTCGTCATTTTCCTCTCAGAATAAGATAATGATTATCGTGGTCACTTAGATAGAGAAATCACTTCCCAATGACATGACCCAGGTTCGAATCCCACTGGCGGCAGGCTTTATACGAATTCTGATCACTTTGGCCCCAGTGTTGACGTAAATTATCATCAGTGGTTGACGGATCATATATTGGAATCCCTTTGTAGTTGAGTGAATCCTTTGAGGTTTTTGTGGTTTTCCACTCCATGCAACTTAAATACAGATCAGTTTCATCGAAAAGTCCTCCACGAAGTTTAGTCTAATGATTGATTTAGGAGTTACCTTGTCTTCTGAGTAGAGTTCAAAATTATTAGTCTGTGGAGTTGAATATTGAGAGTCGTTAGCTCAGAATAAGGTCGGCTGTTAAACGCCAGTTGAAAAAAATAAAATAAAATAATTAAATAATGAGCTTTTTTTATGCTTCTGAGTGTATGAACAAGGATAACGCGTCTGACTTTTCAGACGGACTTCAATTAATTTGAAAATGGAATTAATCTGAGCATTTATTTTTCTCTTGAAAACTATATTAATGGATAATAAATGGGTGTGCTTGGCTTGTTTTGTACAAATACAGTCCAATTAAAAATATATCTATAATATATGCTGCTAATGCACGTTGTAAATGCACATTGTGAAATTAAAAAAAATCTGTTTATACCCTCTTTGTATCAAAGTTGGGTTTAATATTCTTTTAAACATGTAAATTATGTACATACGTTATCAACATAAACTTCTCTGTAATATATCTAAAGCGTTGTGATTGAAAAAAGCATATTAAAGCTTGTAAAAGGATTTATAAAGCTTTATTTGTTCTTTTTGCTAACATGATATTGCTGTAAAATGTTTTAAAATTATAGCTATCATAAATCATTTCAATTTAATCGTAGACTATAATAAAATATAAATTTTCAACGTAGATTATTATTTATATAAGTCAATTATGATTCCAAAAATTTATTGTTTTAAGCATTTTTGAATAATTATTTAAAATCGAAATTCAAAGAAACGTTATAGTAATTTAATAAGACTCAAAATATTTTAATCTAAAATATATTTATTTTTTATGATATCATAAAAAATCTAATTACTAATATATTATAGTGAATTTAATACTTGTTGTAAGGATTTGATAAAAAAAAACACTACGTTTTATTGTGATTCATGAATTGTTGAAAGAAATATATTATTTAGACGCACAAACATGTACAGAAATTGAAATATCTTAATTAGTTGAGAGTTATATATAAATGCACAGAAAAAAATATTTTAATTTACTTTGGTGTAGTTGAATTATTCCATGCTGATTTTTTCGCTAATTAATTAACGTTTTTTAATTAACGTAACCAAATTTTTTAACGTTTTAAAAAAAAATTGTCTCATGCACGTATTTTTTTTAAAATTTACAGATATTTTCATAGTTATTTTCATAGGTCATAAATATGAAAAAAATCTCTTTGAAAATTTTGGAATATAATATATTTATTATAGCCCATAAATTTTAAAATTTATTTTTTGTTCTAAAAATTGATTTAAAAAATTAATGCCAATTTATTAAAATAAATAATTTTCAACGTCGAAAATTCCTTAACTTTTGTAGATAATCTTCAAAAATGCAAGAATAATATTTTAGTATCACTATTTTGACTATTTATTTGGAAAAATAGTAATAATTACTGATTTCTAAAATCTGAGTAAGCATGTATTATTTTTTTAAATTTCTAAATATTAATAATTAAGATCAATTTCTTAATATGATTTCAGATATTTTAACATTTCATTATTATTATTTTAACAGTTTCGCCAAAAAATTTTAAAACTTAATTTGAAATTATTTGAATTCTTATGAGTAACGAGATATTATTTTTCCTTGCTTTCGAAAAAACTAAATTTTATTAACTCTGAAATAACAGTAATTAGATTATTAAAAACCTAAGAAGATAAAAGCTCTACTTTTTAATAAACTTTGTTCTAGTAGAATTTAGTTTAGTAGTTCATTGAATGAAAAAGCTATTGGTTTTATTAAGCACTTTAAAATTTAATTCCTGTGTTATATTCTTACTTAAAAACTTCTTCGGAAATTTAAAAAAAAATAATAATAATAAAATAAAGATAAATGAAGTTAAGAGATGCTTTCAACATTTTTTATTTGGACAGATAAACTTAAAATGTAATTAATAAACATTAATATTATAAAGATATATTTTGTATGACATATGCGACAATTTAAAAATAAGAGAATGCTTAAAAAATATCAAAAAATTGCACTTTAATTAAAAATTTAGCCGGATATAAAAGTTAAATAGTTTTGGTTTTTTTTCAGTTCATGCAGAAAGTAATGTATTGAACTGGTTGACACTTTCAAATTGGATTTTTTGTAAATCGGAAAATTATTGTAAAGTTAATGTAATTGTTTACTATTAATGTACTTATGAAAATATTGATGCAATTATAATGAATAATTTTCCTTATTAATAGCAAAAAGAATCTTATTTTTTATATCGCGTAGTTTTCTGTAAAATCATGCCAAATATATTACAAATTGTAATTTAATGGTTTCAATAAAGCTCAAATGGATACTTCATGCTTATTGTAATTTTTATTAGACTTAGAAGTTTTACAATAAAAATTTTTTTATTAGACTAATAACTTTTTATTGTAAAATAAAAATACTTTGAAACGGACGTTTTTATAATTCCCCCAAAAAGCCTGAATTTATACTTAAAAACAACTCATTTAAAATTATTTTGTTGTCTAAAAGTATCTTTATTTTTCAGCATTATTCATCTGCAAAATATTTAAACAGAAACTTGGCAATATCTTCATTTTTCTACAAAATTTATGTACGTTTTGATTTAAAAGCACAAAACAGTTTTAAAATGTACACTGTAAAAAATCCAAAATCAAGTTACAGCAAAAAGTACTGGCACACTAAGTGCGCCATCCGTAAAATTCACTTTATCGTACAATCCATTTTTCCATAATCTTTACGCTAATATTTATTAATTCCAGTGATTTTACAATAAATATCATTATAAAAATTACGGTATATCAAAAAGTTTTGATCCGTAAAAAATGGATTTTACCGTAAATCGGTACCGTACGGTACACGATAGCCTACGGTACACGGTAGTGCAGATACTTGCGTGGATTTTACGGAACGGGCTTTACCGTAATGGAATTTACAGTAAGTACTAATATCTTACTCACCCTAATTTTTTTTCTTTTTTTTTTTTAAGTAGCAACCTCTCTGAGCATTTCCCCGCGTTAGTATTTCAAAATCTGAACTCTTTCTCACTATTTTCTTTGCATGTAACTATTTTCTTTAACATGTAACAGCTCTGTCAACAGATCTTATTCATTAAATGTTCTTCCATGCGAGAACTAGTTTGTCTCAATTTAAAACGTTCCACAAACATTTTGTTAGCATCTATAAAATTTAATCAACAAATATCAATTTATCAGTCAATTTGATCAACAATCAATTTAATCAACAATCAATTTAATCAACAATCAATTTAATCTACGATCAATTTAATCAACAATTTTATATCAATCAATTTAATCAACAATTAAATTTAAACGACTCAACTATGGAGTTTCTCTCTCAAATTTAGAAAGATTACTCAAAATATGTATGAATATCTTCATGCGCAAACAATCGACTCTCTAAAAGTTAACACTAGTTGCATTCTGAGCAACATTCACAGCCACTTAACAATAATGGTTTGTGAATGATATTAAATAACTGAAAGGCGTGCATAGAAAGAAAACATTCTTTTAAATTTTATCATTTTTGTGACCACCACTTTGTTAAAAACAGAAACAAATATATTTCTATCACAGCAAAGATTTACCCTTGCAGAAATTTTAGGTGTTTGTGATATTTATTTGAGGCTGTTTTGAAGTGCCAAGGTTGATTTTGAAGTTTTTTGAGGTTTATTTGAAGTTTACCTCAAAAAAAAATTTAAAAGATCAGCCTCTCAAGCTGTATAATCAATGTGAATGAAGTTATTTTTATTCACATTTGAGGTTGTTGGAAATCTAATTTAAAGTAACCAGCTTAGAGAGGTTATTTTGCATGTGTACTGTCTATTTTTTTTACACGTCAAGCTAATAAGAATTTTTGAGATGTGAATAATTCCACCCAATCTCATGTAATAAATATTGCTGAGTTATATAGGATTATGATTTTATGAGGGGTAAAGAAGGTTGAAATTGAGGTTTATTAATAAAATTATTTTAGGTGCAAAACATTACCTCGTTTTCAACCTCAGGTGTATTTAGTTTACATCTGTCAACCTCAAAACAACCTTAAAAACATTTTATTTTCTGTAAGGGTAATGTCTCAATAAAAAAGTCACATTAAATTATTTCTAATGAACAAAATCCAGCTTTGAGCTTGTACGTATATAAACTCTTACAATTTCTTTCAATGTTTTAACCACAAAATGACGCACCACAGTTGACAAAATTTTTTTACGATGTGTGGCGATTTTAGTTATGCTTTTATTACATTAAGAGACAATCTTGAATATTATATACATACCAAACTAAGAAAGAAACGTATGGTCTAAACTGCCAGAATGTGGTAAAATTTACCTTGTTTCTGGCTCCATCGAAAATACTAAAAAGTTTGCTAATTTTTACCACAGCACCTGAATAATGATTTAGGTAAAAATAACAATGAAATAT